TGTATATTATTCTTATAATATCATGCAATTTCTCTGGTACTCTTCATGCACTTCTTTACCATCGAGACCAAGAATGTGGGATTTCTGCACAATAATTTCTATATATTTGGAAAGTAGAGAGTAAGAGGAATTGAACAATACCAAAAGCATCATGATCTGTTATGCGGAACCATTCGAAAAAATTACCTTTGTTTGAAATTGAAATGATGCCCATTACTGTTTTCTGGGTAAAAATGTTTTTCTGAAAGCTCTGGCCGTATTTTGAATAAAAATAGCCCTCATTTCCTTCACAAATGAAGCACAGCCTTGATATGGGTCCTGATAGCTGAAGAGGGCCTGTTAAGTATTAGGGAAATTGTAGTGTAAAAGCGAATTATCAAAGTAAAACTTTATGTAATGTAGTTATTGTTAAACATATCCAGAGTAAGTAGGGGGCTTTACACCCTAACCCCCACCTGACCTGGAAAATCTTCACCAAGTATGTTCCTGCGGGATAGAGCCTAGGCAGTTAGCTGGATCTCACACCAATAAATCCGCAGAGGCTAGCCTGTGAGTCGTATAAATCCTTGCTGTCACTGGTGGCAGAAGAGCAACCACCATCAGCTGCTCTATTTTGTTATAACCATGATATTTAGCATGTTAAAATTAAACTCACTGATATTTTTAATAATCTGCTAAGGCAAAGAAAATGTCAAAAAAGAAAATAGGTTTCATCCTGAGGCATTTGGTCTAGCACAGGGGATTCCCCTCATCCTTGGATTAAGTGTCTACAGTGAGGAGTAGCTAAAGCCAGTATCTTAATTCGCTGGTGGGTTTTCAATTGCCTGACCTTTACCAAGTAGATCACTGGGCATTTTAGGGTGAGATTTTGACATAGAAAGTTCCGAAAATATAATAATTTCAGATCTATTTTGAAAGTATTGAGGTATTAACCTAAAATTGTGTGAAGAAAATACAATTTTCTGCAGTTACATTCTTTTTTAATTTAAATGTGTTATTGTATTCTCAAATGGTTTATATTATGAAGTTCATCCAATACCAATAATTATAGTAATACTAGTGTGTGTGTGAGTTCTCTTATTTGAAAGCTAATAATTTATAACTTTATTTTTTCCATTTACAGGTGATCAAGTGGTGGGAGGCCAAGTTGATACAGGATGCGAATTACAAAGGAAAGGCAAAAAAAATAAAAAGAAAAAGAACAAGCACAACATAATCTCAGATGAAAGCAATGAAGAGACAACAGAAGGAGCACCAGTTACAAAAAAGAAAAGAAAATCAAAAAAAGCCTCAAAGGAGACTGATGAAAATGAACACCTTGATTCTGGAGAAATGATTGCAAATATAAAGAAGAAAGAGAATCATTCTAATGGTGGCAATACTGATGTTCATGATAGTGCAAGCAAAACTACTAAGCAGTATATAGAAAATGTCAAAACAGTTAATGGTGAAAAATTTACAGATGATGGCTTCAAAGTTGTGTCGTTTGTACCTGATGATGATTCAGATGTTTCTGATGCATTTGAGTCTGACATTGACATGGAAAACTGGTCTTCTCCAACCGCACAAAAAAAAGTTGATACGAGACAGCCATCAAAAATACAAAAGGAAGCTGGTGTGACACATCAACCACTATCAAATCAGAAAGGCCTAAAAATGACAGATGATGGTTTCAAAATAATAACCGAGATTCCACCAGACGACAGTGATGTTAGTGATGCATTCACAGAAGAAGAAGATGAAGGTTTCATGACAGGTGAAGAAATAGCAGCAAAGAAGATAAAGTTAAATTTAAAGAAGCAGCTTAAGAAACCCCTCCAGAGAATGATTGATGATTTTGGTAATTACTCAGAATGTTTTAAGGTTGACTTGTAGCTTGAAGGAAGTAGTAGCTGTTAAGATTTGCATGTATTACATGTTCTGAATTTTATAGCAAAGTAGGATCTCTGGTGACTGATATTATATTTTCTCTGACTTAACCATTTATATTACAGACATTGATGATACTGTCTTGCTTGGAAGAACAAAGGAAAAAGAGGAAATTGTTAATAAACCAGCCAAGAAATTAAAGGGATCCTGTGATACGCTGACTTTAGCTGCTAAGAAAAAACCTAGGGAAGAAGTTGTTGTGATAGATTACACTAAGAAACGAGGATCTGGAAAGAAGAGAAAAGACCAAGAAGAGGAGAGTGAGGAGAACACAGAAGAATCCCCAGGACTGGTAGGAGTAATATTTTATGCCTATTTTAAAGTCATATTCCATAGTGTCTCTCTAGAATTGAGATATTTATGTTCATAATGTTGATTATTCTGTCCATTTGCTTTTATGAATACATGAAATATTAAGCATTATAGAGGGTGGAAAAGATAAATGTTTTGTTTTAATTGCCATGAGATGCAATTAGAGAAGGTGTTTACAGTTTTTTCTTATTAATTTATTAATTCATTTATAATCATCTTCATCACCCATATTATTACTTTCCTTGTGACTGCATACTCGAAGTCACATTAATTTGATGTAAAATTGACAATTGATAATTGACAATATAAATATTAAAAGAATCACACACATGTACGTAACACACATTCATAAAGGCATTATATCACAAATTTGTTTGTTCCTTTAGAACTATTCTAACTGTACTGATGGTAACACTGATGATAATAGAGTTAGTGTATAGTTTTAATAGATTTATAATATGAGGCCTTTTTGTGTGTGATTCTTTGATTTTTATGTTTTCAATTATCATGTCATTTTACATTAAATTAAAATATAGATTATTATTTTTACTTCTACAACTATTGGTACTATTATTTCACTATTGTTGTTGTATCCTTTAAATAATGGATTGTGATGTGCTGAATATATGTTTTTAAATTATTTCAGACTCTATATATTCAAAAGTAGTTAGTGTATCTTCCTTATTTGGTTCCATTTAGTGTGTTTGAGGATGAGCATTTCACTGATGTAATCAATTTTTTTTTTTTATATCAACCTTTATCAACCAGGGAATGTAAATATGAAACTGAGCAGATATTAGGAGCCTATATTTTACTATGTGTAGAAGACATTCTTGCAGTTGTATTTAAAAAATGTCTCTACTATTCATAGGACTCTAGTATGGAATGTATCTTTTATTGATGAAGGTGTCTTTTCCCTTTGTAACTAAAACTTAGATATGATACAAAATAAATCACCTTTAAGTACTTTTTATATTTCCACTAGTAACTAAATTATGTTTTCAGGTGATAACAGGAGAAGAGGATATGAAGAAATTAAGGTTTGAAGTTATGAAGTTTGGCATGACTGGATTCCAGAAGAAGAAACAAGAAGATGAGAGAATTAATCTGGCAATAAGGCTAGGAGCAAAACCACCCAAGAATAAGGTACATTTATAAAATAAATGTGCAGTTCACTGATTTTTTATATTATCTGTTTGTAGATTATTTTAGAATATTGATATGTCTAAAGGATCATTTCTGCTTTGAAGTTCAGCAGTGTGATTGGAGCTAGATTTTTAAATACCTTTTAATCTTATATTTGCTAGTAGCAGTCTAACAGCTGGTTTATTAGAATTGTGCCATGCTCGACTCAGTAAATATTCATTATACAGAAGTGCTTATATACAGAAATGAATCCATATCTATCAATCTAGATAGGCCAATTTACAGAGTAGATTGATAGATAAATGTATATCTATCAGATAGATACACAGATATGCATTTATTTCTGTGTATATTTATGTCCATATATGTGAATAATCATCAGGTTGGGCACAATTTTAACAAACCGGCCATAAATGTATCACATTGGGTAACAGAAAATAGTGAATTGCAAAAAGTCTCTTTCCCATATTTTTTGTTATTAAGAAATTGATTAATATTTGACATGCATTCTTTGAATTAATTGTTAACATGACAGTACCTACTGAAATGTGAATTTATTTTATACAGAAAAAATACCTTCTCTCATCCTCATCCACCTCTCTTATTCCTCCCCATCCTCCTCTCTCCTTCTCCGCCTCTTTCTTCTCCACCTCTTTCTCCCTCTTCTCTTCTTTCTCCTCCTTCTCCTCTTTCTCCTTTTCCACCTTTTCCTTCTCCACCTTCAAATCCACCATTTCCACCTTCAACTCCTCTTCCTCCACCTCCTTCTCCTTCTCCTCCTTCTCCTTCTCCTCCTTCTCCTTCTCCTTCTCCTTCTCCTCTGCCTCCTCCTCTTACTTCTCCTCTTCCCCCCTCCTCCATCTCTTCCTCTCCTCCTCCTACTTCTCCTTTTCCCACCCCTTTCCCTCTTCTCTTCCCCCTTCCTCCTTCCCTCTTCCCTCCCTCCTCCTTCTCCTCTTCCCTCCCTCCTCTTTTTTTCTTCCCCCCCTCCTCCTCTTCTTCTTCTCTTCTTCTTCTTTCTTCTTCTCTTCTTCTTCTTCTTCTTCTTCTTCTTCTTCTTCTTCTTCTTCTTCTTCTTCCTCCTCTTCATCTGCTTCTTTTTCTTCCTCCTTCTCCTCCTCCTCTTCCTCTTCCTCTTCCTCTTCCTCCTCCTCCTCCTCCTCCTCCTCCTCCTCCTCCTCCTCCTCTTCCTCTTCTTAGTACACCTCCTCTTCCTCTTACTCCATGTCCTCCTCTTCCTCTTACTCCATCTCCTCCTCTTCCTCTTACTCCTTTTCCTCCTCTTACTCCTCCTCCTCCTCCTCCTCCTTCTTCTTTCCCTCCTCTTCCCCCTCCTCTTCCTCCTTTTCCTCCCCTTTCCGCTCCTCCTACATGTATCCTTCCTTGTTGTCATTGTCGTTGTCCTCCTCTTCCTTCTCCTCACTCCTCCCCTCCTTCTCATCCTTCTTCTTTTCCTTCTTCTCTTCCTTCTCCTTCTCTTCCTTCGCCTTCTTTTCCTTTTCCTTCTGTTTCTTCTTCTCCTGCTCCTCCTCCTGCTTTTTTTTTTTCGTTCCAGTGATTTAGTGTACTTCCATTCTTGTCCTTGTGTGTAATCCATATATTTCTTTTTGAAG